ATTCAGGTCTTAGTCGATTGAAGAATGAGTGACCTAAAAGCCTATGACATTTTATTATTTTCATTTTATGTCCAGAAATAGACAGTTCATCATAATTGTGTATGGGCTGTGATACTGCCCGGGTGCCCAAACCGAAGCAGGTGGTTTTCTTAGGGGGCCACTCCCCGAGCCTTTGACCTAAAGGTCTAACCCACAAGGCAGTGGAGCATCGTAAGGAGATGCAGTCCCATGGTAGCCGGTGACCAAAGATTGGTTCATACGCCATTTGTTCCCGCAGGATACTGTAGCCCATGTGCACCATTGGTTTGTGATCCGGTTAAAGCGCCGGACATTCGCTTTTTGTCCTCTCATTTTCGTAAACAACACCCCCGCCACGAGAAGGCAATGAGTAGGACTTCCCTGGCAGAGGCTGTATACGCGCGGCCGTGTGGGAGTATTTCGAGAGGGAGAGCGGACTCACCCCACTCTCGGCCGTACCAGGGCATTTGATTAGACAAAACCCTGACTGTCAAAATCGATGAATAGCAAAGTAGTTGACAGATGAATGCAATGAGATAGTGTGACCGGGTGACGGCTGCTCACAAGACTGCATAATTGGCTTAGGCCCCCAAATGATTAGATTTAAAAAAAGACCACTAGCCAGATGAATTTTTCTCATATAATAAAATAACATGCTAATAAATAGAATATGGACATAAAATTATTTATTTATTTATTTGAACACATAAATATTGGTACAAGAGGGCACCAAATACATATGCGCCCCAAAATGTCCTGGTATGACCGAGAGTGGGCTGGGCTCGCCCTCCCTCTCGAAATGCTCTCACACGGTCACGCCTATACAGCATCTGTCAGGGAAGTCCTACTCACCGCCTTCTCTTGGCGGGGGTGTTGTTTACGAAAATGAGAGGACAAAAAGCGAATGTCCGGCGCTTTAACCGGATCACAAACCAATGGTGCACATGGGCTACAGTATCCTGCGGGAACAAATGGCGTATGAACCAATCTTTGGTCACCGGCTACCATGGGATTGCATCTCCTTACGATGCTCCACTGCCTTGTGGGTTAGACCTTTAGGTCAAAGGCTCGGGGAGTGGCCCCCTAAGAAAACCACCTGCTTCGGTTTGGGCACCCGGGTAGTATCACAGCCCACACACAAACGATGAACTCTATGTCCATGGCAACTACTTTTCTCGCTCCGAAAAACAATCAATCGATTCAAATAATTATCATTACTATTATTGTCATTATTAATACTATTATTATTACTATTATTGTTATTATTATTATTATTATTTCCCACATTATTCACCCTCTTTTATACTTATACAGCGGCTCGTCTTTGGTGGAAATCCGACTGTATCTAAACGTTCTCGAGTCACTGTCCGGTTGAAAGTTGTATGTTACCATCGAATATGAGTACTGAAGCAGTGTTTCTGAAACCACGTGCGCCATTCAAACTGGCTGCCTTCAACGTTTGCACACTTATGCAGGTTGGTCAACAGATAGGGCTGGCTATGTCTTTGGAAAGTCTTAATATTGATGTTTGTTGTCTATCCGAGACCCGTATTCAAGACTCTAGCGAAGTACTGCAAATTCGCTCTACATCTGTCACTTCAAAAAGCTTGTTTTACGTGCGCTTATCCGGGGACCCTGTGGCATCTTCGTCTGGTCTTGCAGGCGTTGGTGTCGCACTAAGCGCTAGAGCTGAGGCAGCACTAGTCGATTGGATCCCCATTAACAGTCGGTTATGTGCTGTTAGATTAGAAAGTTCCATCAAAGTGAGAAGAAATCGGCGTGAGAAACGATGTCTTTTCGTCATCTCCGCCTATGCCCCGACAGATTGCAGCCCGGATGCAATCAAGGATGAGTTTTACCACCAGTTATCTGTTCTTCTCCAGAAAGTGCGTTCGACAGATATTGTAGTACTAGCCGGAGACTTGAATGCTCAGGCCGGGCGTCTAGGCACAGAAGAGAGTCGTTTAGGTGGCCGATGGGGACTCGTTGGTCGCAGGTCAGATAACGGGGACCGTCTACTGCAACTGTGCACAGACCACAACCTGTTTCTGGCTAGCACTAACTTTCGGCACAGTCATCGCCGATGTGCCACCTGGCGTCCTCCCTCTGCATCCCAAGCCTGAACTCAGATTGATCACATCGCGATCAGCTACCGCTGGCGTGGTTGTGTAAAAGACTGCCGCTCCTTTTAGAGTACCTATCTGGACTCTGACCATGCCTTGGTCTGCGCCAATCTTGCCTTACTTTTCAGTGGACAACGAAGTGACCACCACCAAAAGATTGATGTTAGCAAGCTGGTTGCAACTTCTGTTGCAAATAAGTATCGAACCGAACTAGCCTCTAGGCTAGCTACTACTCCACCGAAAAGTATAGATGAGCATTGGTTGCAATTGCATGACGCCATGAAAATGGCGGGAACAGTCAGTTGTGGGTTTGCGAAACGTCTCGCTTTTAAGCACTGGGTTTCTTCTGGTTCCTTACAACTCATTGAAGCCCGTCGGTCTACTCCGGGTGACCGTGAGTTTGACCATAAACGAAGGATGTTATGTAAGGAAATCGGGCAAAGCTTGCGTAAGGACCGAGAAGCCTGGTGGTCGAAGCGTGCTAATGAGCTGGAAGCAGCAGCTGCATGTGGTAACTACCGGAAGCTCTTCCAGCTCATCCGAGCCACTGGCAGCAAGAAGTCTGGTGTGAGTGAAACAATCTGCGAGGATGATGGGATGCCAATCACTAACATCCATCGACGTCTTGGACGATGGGCAGAATTTTTTGAAGGGCAGTTCAACTGGCCTGCTGCTCCGGCAACATCGGTCAGACTGTCCTGCCCTCCATGGCCGGTGACGACTGATCCACCAAACGAGGAGGAAGTCCGCAAGGAACTCCAACTCTTGAAGCGATACAAATCACCTGGCCCAGATGACTTACCTCCGGCTCTTTTTAAAGATGGTGGTGACTTTTTGACTAAGGAATTGACGACGTTGTTCACAAAGGTTTGGGAACTAGAGAGTGTGCCAACGTCATGGAATGAGTCGATAGTTGTCCCTATCTTTAAAAAGGGTTCACGTCGTTCCTGTAACAACTATCGGGGGATAAGTATACTTCCAAATGCGTCCAAGCTATTGGCTTCCGTCATTCTTCGTAGGTTGTTCAAAACCCGAGAAAGATTGACTCGCGAGGAGCAGGCTGGTTTTCGTTCTGGTCGAGGATGTATTGATCATATCTTCACCCTCCGCCAAATGTTAGAACACCGCCATACTTATCAAAGGCCAACAATCGTAGTGTTTCTTGACATCAGGGCTGCCTTCGATTCGTTGGACAGAACTGTTCTCTGGGATTGTCTATTGAAGAAGGGTGTGCCTGAGAAGTTTATTAACATCCTAGAAGCCCTATATAAAAACACCTCAGGCAGAGTGAGGGCATACAACCACCTTTCTCCATTGTTCCATTCGAGTAGTGGGGTTAGGCAGGGTTGCCCAATCTCACCATTCCTCTTCAACTTTGTCATCGATGACATTCTGGAAACAGCTCTGATGAATGTAAGTAATGGCGGTGTGGATCTGTTGCCTGGAGAAAGACTTCTCGACCTTGAGTATGCGGACGATATTGTCTTATTGTGCGATAATGCCCAAGGCATGCAATCCGCACTTAATCAGTTGGCAATCAGTGTCCGTAGGTATGGTATGTGCTTTGCACCTTCCAAGTGCAAAGTACTTCTACAAGACTGGCAGGATTCCAATCCTGTACTCACCCTGGATGGTGAGCAGATAGACGTAGTCGAGAAGTTCGTGTATCTAGGTAGCTGCATAAGTGCTGGTGGGGGTGTGAGTGATGAGATCAATGCACGTATAGTGAAAGCCAGAGCGGCTTATGCCAATCTGGGCCATCTTTGGCGCCTTCGTGATGTTAGTCTGGCTGTAAAAGGTCGGATTTACAACGCGTCGGTGAGAGCAGTTTTGCTCTATGCTTGTGAAACCTGGCCTCTCCGAGTTGAGGACGTTAGACGACTCTCTGTGTTCGATCATCGCTGTCTCCGAAGGATTGCTGACATCCAGTGGCAACACCATGTTAGTAATGCAGAGGTTCGGCATCGTGTGTTCGGGCACAGAGATGATAATTCAATTGGTGTCACCATCTTGAAACACCGACTTCGGTGGCTTGGACATGTTCTCCGAATGTCGTCCCAGAGAATTCCACGTCGTGCATTATTTGCCGACTCTGGGACTGGTTGGAAGAAGCGGAGAGGTGGTCAGTGTATGACATGGTGTCGTGGTATGAAAGAAAGCTGCAAAGGACTGGCTTCTGTCGGTCCTTCACGACTCCCTGGTTGGGGTCCGAGAGATGGTGCTACACAGTGGCTAGAGACGTTATCAGATATGGCTCAGAATAGAAGCCAGTGGCGATCCTGCTGTAACCTTCTTTTACTTTCTTCATAAACAGTGGTTGTCTCCCTTGCCTGAAAGATTTCTTCCGATTGTACCTTTGCGTTCCCTGTTTACTAGCACATTACCTTACACCAATCTCTTCGTTATTGTTCTCTCTTTTTTTGTGCTCCTTAGCTTCTTTTTTTTCTTTCTTTGTATTCCTCTTCGAATATTCATTGTTCTGTGTGGCGCATATATATTGGCGCTCTCTTATACCAATATTCATGTGTCCAAATAAATAAATAATAAATTGTCTAATCAAAACAGGAAATCTTCACAACTGTAGTCCTCACAACGACCTTGTTTTTCACTAAATTATTTACCAAGTAGAGGTCCGCGTACTCTGTTTTAATTCGGATTCTAATTATGGAAGCTAATGATACTACCCAGTTGTCTAACCTAGAGTAGGTGGCGTGGGGCTGTAGCATGTGACTTAATAACTAATGTATCGCTCCACCTAAGGTAACCTATCACGCAAACATTTTCATTGCTATTCGATGTCATAAAATTTTTGTGGTTTGTCACGTATAACCAGTCATTTACCATTATGTTTCAGCACTCATGTTTTCTCTTAAATCAATAAGATTGGCTTATGCTTTCACTAGCTGTCGTCATTCATATCATAGTATGCTTCCAACTAGTTCGAAGAAACGACGTACGTGGGTCACTTATTCCTTGTTGGTATGTTATTACTGTTTACAAGATAATGACTTGTTTTTTGTGTAGTTAAGGATTTGTATGCTCATATTTTCTCAGCTTTTATTCGTAAATATATCAATAAACATCTGAAATATGTATATTTGTATGTAAATGGAAACGACTGGCAAACAGTCTGATCGATCAAGATTCTGTATTTCTTCACAAACAAAGATATTTTCTCTTGTCTGATACACAGATCATGACCGAGCACTTAGGTGCATCAACTTATTTAGGTCTTTTTGGAGTTATAATTCTCTTGCTTTGTTGACTGATAAAATTTCAGTGCTGCTGCGAAAGGTTCGTTCAACTTAGGGCTGTGTAACATGGCTTAAGAAGTTAGGTTAGAAAATGACCGAGGAAACTCAAATCGAGATAGTGTGTCTGTTCATAAAATCACTGGTTGTTATACTATGTTAAGAAGAGCAGTTCACTCTTACTCGTTTTGGTCTGAGTCAGCAAAATAATTCTTGAGAGCTATATTTAACGTCTTAGTACTGATGAGTAACTGTCCAGCCATTAGTTATTTGCTTTTTAGAGAGGATAAGTTAAGCAAATCAGTCCACGCACCTGATTCTGGAAGTGAAAGTATTCAACCCCAATAATCATATTTAAGTCTATTTTCTGAGTTTACCTTACATGCATTTCGTCATCGTTCCTGGTGCTTCTCGGTCAATTGTATCTAGTTAAACCTAGTATTGTACTTAGTTGCGTAGCCCAAATAATTTTGAGATGACCGGAAGTTAAGCCATTAAATCAAAAATCCATGCTTGACTCTTGACCATCAAACCATGTATTAACACCCATTACGTGATTCGATCAAGACAATCAGACAATGTTATTGACTCTCACTACAAAAATTTGCCTCAGCTGGACAACTAATTCTACATGTGATCACTAAATTCTTTACTGTATTACTCACAAAAACTGCATCTTTTAGTAGTCCTGTATATATGTAACCTTACAAGAAGTGTTGTGTTCTCTAACCTGTAAATTGTTGTATACGAAAGGTGTGTATGCTAGATTTTAGAAAGTCCCATTATATATTTGTGATTTTTTGACAATTTGTTTCAGGTCCTTCCAGCTACTGCATTCGCTTTAGGATATTGGCAGATACATAGAAGAAGGTGGAAAATTGATTTGATTGGAAAACTAAACGCAAGGATTCCTGCTAAGCCTATTCAATTGCCTAAGAAGTTTGTTTTTCTCTTTTAAATGTAATCATATTTTCGCAATTTTAGTGTTGACTCTAGCATTCAGCTTCCTGAGTTCACTCATATCTCGGTTCGAGGTTGTTTCGATCATTCACGAGAAGTAGTAATTGGACCACGCTCATTGATTGAAGATTTTATACCTTCTAAAGGCTATGGAAGCGAATGGGTAGTGAGATCACCAAACAAGTATATGCAGGCGAATATGGCTCGTCCATCTGCTTCTGGTTATTTTATCGTAACACCATTTTTCTTAGAAGATAGACCTGGGTAAAAAAATGAACTTTTGGGGAATCGATTCCCTATCTTTCTGATTAGTTAATTGACATCTGTTTTAGAACCTCCATATTAGTAAACCGTGGATGGGTCCCATATGGTGCACGTGATCCTACCATTCGACCTAATGGTCAGGTAATTAATGATTAGTCTAAGAATTTATTTCTTCATGGCAGTTTACTAACCAAGTGTAATTCAGTTTGCTACTTTTTCCCTGCCTTTCTGTTAATCCAACGTAACAGATTTATTGACCTTCATCAGTTTTATTCTAATTTCAGGTTAGACTAATTTTCAAAAGCTTTTCACTTTATATACACTGAGTGAATTCGTGGTTCGTCGATCTAGAGTCTCATTTTTCAATATTATAATGGCTCAATCATTTTTACTAAAATACTGAAATAATTTAGATGGTTAGTTTGTCAAGTTACTCACGACATTGATCCTCAACTCCCAATCAGGTAGATTAAAAAACTATTTACTGAATGAGTAACCATGCGAATTGATGTACAAGTTAATTAAAACTAACATCCATGTACATAGTACTTGATCAAAGTAGTATGCCCATAAGCTCTGTCATTTCTCAATTAAATGATAAATTCTGAAAATAAAGGTCACTAAACAATCAATGTCCCTTCACTTTAGCCTGCCTTGACAGTCAGTCAGCTACAACGTAGGACCAGGCACATATATGCATCGGTCCAAGTTGCCATACCTCATTAACACAACAAGATGAACACCGGATTCATAAACGTGGTTAATTCAGAAGTGGTAATATATAAAAGAAAGATTGCTATAAGGATATAGTACAGGAAGAAAGAATTAGTTCGTAGAAAGAAAGATATGAAGCGATTTTAATCTTTTAGTTTAAGGGAAGACAGGGAGTGTATACACCGACGCCATTGTGATCGATTCTGAGCCATGTCACCAAGAGTCTCCAACCATTGGTTATGAAAGTCACGCGGACCCCAACCAAGTAGTCTGCATCTACCAACATGGCTCAGACTACAAGTTAGTGACTTCAAGCACTGATGCCAGCCTGCTTTGACGGATTGCGTTATAATATGGTGGAGAGTTTAGTTTTTGGTAGTCATCATTTTTCATCGCGTCATGAATATTTATAGTTTTAGGATCATTTCCTCCAATAATTGACGCCAATTATTAAATTATTACAAAGCATAGAAATATTTCGCCCTAATTTAAAACTCTTCAGCATTGTGCACCCATAATCCCTTAAAGTTTTATCAAACCTTGAAACAATAGTCGTATCCTTAACAGTGATTAGCCCCCAAATAGTTTCTGAATGAGTTAATAATTAAGTAGGAGCTAATAAGCTAACCACATCTGGTATACGACATTGAATAAATATCAAGTATGGGGTTGTGAAGATTGAGATGGTAGAGATTATTAGGTTTTTCATTGAGATCATAAGCCGATCGATGTTAAACCATCATTGAAAATCTGGAAGCACTGAACGGCAGCGCTCATCCACACGGGATTCGAACCAAGGGCCCTCGTCGTGACCAGTGGAGCTAATTCGTGTTGGGTAGATACAGGTATCTACCTTAGAATATTGAAAGATGGTCGCGCAATTTCGTGGATTGGTTGGGGTTAGGCGTTAACACCGTTGGATGCCGGCTCAGTGGTTTGGAGGTTAAGCGTTCGCGCGCGAGGCAGAAGGCTCTGGGTTTGAATCCCGTGAGCGGGATCGTGGATGCGCACTGTTGAGGAGTCCCAAAATAGGACGAAACGGCCGTCCAATGCTTCTATGTTTTTAATGGTGGTCTAACATCAATCGGTTCATGATCCCAATTGAATAAACATCATATATTACATGCTATTGACTGCGATTCGAGATATAACACGGGATTTTCATTAAGCGATAGCATACCCGACTTAATTTCTATAGGTTTTTTGGTTTGATCCTGCTTGAGTTCATTAGTATGCGTTCCTAATGAGTTCAAAATAGTAGGATTTGTTAACTAAACAGTACCCATTAAATCTATATTTAGTTTTCCTACAGACAATTAGTTTTCCTACTGTCTAGCGTTATTTAGTTGAAAATAAACTAGTCAGTATATCACGATTTGGGACGTGATCAGAACACGGGACAGTTAAGAATATGTCCTATTAACACTCACTGTTTCTTTATCTATTATCCTCACTTCGTAAGGTATGTTGCTTTTATTTACTGTTATGTTCAGAACTCTGTATTATAAGCTAAAGTACATTCATTGAAAAGAAAATTCATTATTTACTTATTGTGATACATATGTATTTTTTCATAAATTTTAGGTAAAGGGTGTCGTAGAACTGTCAGGTTATATACGGTATCAAGAAAAGGTAATTTTACTATATATATAATATTTAGGCCCATCAACTGCTGTTTTAAACTCCATGGTATTATCTGATAGACTTAAATTACTGTATCAAACGCTCAAAAGTTTATTCCCTGTTTTTTTTGTTTCACTTAATAACTTTTAATGTGCGAACATCAGTAACATTTCAACTATTAGGTTCATTTATATAATGTACACACCTAATAAGATCTCTTTTATAATTGTTTAGTATTATGGGATATTAGTCAGTGTTAATGTTCTCTACTATTTAGTGCTGATCAGATTTTGATCAACTAATTTTTAATATGGGTACTGGCCTGTTGTACTTGTTAGCGCACTCCACTTTGCCTAATAGTTGTAAAAGAAGTTGGAAAAAAGCTTCGTGACTCAATTACGTCAATTTTTTGTTTTGTTTTAATAACCTAATACTTTTCTTAGGCACCATTTCGTATATTCGGTTCAAAGATTCAACCTCTTACTTGTCTGGATTATGAAAATCAAAATCCACATATTCGTTATTCTTGTCGACAGATCGATCAAATGTCTAATGATTTGAAAACGTTACCGATTTTCCTTGATGCTGATTATGGTAAGTGATGAACGGTAATTTTGTTTTCCTTTTATAAAATGTAAATTCATCCTAATGATTTTTTATTTATTTAAAAATAATGAAATATTAGGGATAAACATTTTCTAAGTTTCAGATTTTTATTTTCCATACAGTTTTCATTTCCTTCTATAAATATCAGTAAGGCTAGAACATGGTTTAGATCAGGAACCGATCTAGATAATCACTCAAAATCGAGCAGTACTGGATAAAAATCCCATAACATAGTGTTCTAAATTTATTTCGTCGATTTTTCCCATTTATGGGAAGGTATTAATTAAGTTAGGAAACCACTCTGAGATAGACTAATAAGAGAAAAATGGTAATAAATTTGAGATAACTATAAAAATCGTACTTACAGTTAATTATTTTGAAGGTTAACGATATGATTATATCATAAGAGAGAACTGGAAAGTGTGTAGTGACAAGTTTCTAGGAATCGGAAATGTCGTTAGTTACATAATCCCAACTGCCAAAAGACAGCTGGTTGAGAAAGTAAAATGTGTAAAACCTAGGATATATTTGAACTGTTACTGTGATCAGCAGACAAATATGCTAAACGGTTAATTGACCATCAGTATTGTTAGTAGTGAGACAAAAATTGTAGACGAATCAATCAGATTTAGGATAACAGGTCTTGGATTTTTGTGCGAAATTCACTCACCCATTTGGCCAAATAGCGTTTTGGGATTTTAGCTGATGTCAGTTCGTGATGAAAAACCGTGGATCTAATTTCTAAGCCTAACCATCAACTGTAAATCATAATGCTTAATCTTCAAACTGCATTATAACCATTTAGTCCTAGTAAGTAGGTTGACACTTTCAAGGTCACTTTGGCGCCGCTCAAAGGTCGTTCACCGTCTGTGCTTTTTAAAACTTGTTTTATACAACATTGACATAGTTTATTTCGTCACTTTACTAGGTTATTATTAATATTATTATTATTATTATCATTATTATTATTAAAAATAATTCATCGCAAACGATGACAAAAGTCGACATTCTATGTTGGTCGAGTAATATACAAACTCAGAGGCCTCGAAAAAAACTTAGAATTTCTGCTTCTGATCATTTATAGGATCCTGAACTCAAATTAATAGAATCCAAAATAAGGACAAATTATTTATCTACTAGGTCTTACTTTCCAATTGTTCTTTAATTGATATCAATCCATCATGAATGGTAGCTTCCAATTTGAATTAATGCTTACGAACTCTGTGTTTACTGACAATAAAAATCATAAATGTGTAAAAATGAGTTTTGTTTAATGCAACCTCTATCGTTTATTCACTGTTAATCGTACTCATTTTGATCATTAGACTAATGCATAATGTCCAAAGTGTTTTCAACCATAGTATCAACTTTATAAGCAAATGTTGAGAGTAAAGAAGTGACTGATATTCGTAAAAATTAGTTTATTAATACAATTCCACTTAAACAAACAAAGACATAAGGTTAGAATGGTTCACTAGCCTCACTTGGTATATCTTACTGTATTTTACAAAGACAATATAACAATTTCCATACATAGTTGTGTAAAATAACTGAAAATATTGATAATAAAATTTTCCTTCTATTCAAAACGAAAGATTGGAATAGTTTTTTATATTCATATACTTTTTAGAGTCTAGTACTGTTGGTGGGCCAATCGGTGGACAAACTCGAGTTGTTTTACGAAATGAACATGCATCGTATATTTTCACTTGGTAAGCTCCAATGTGATTTTCTTTTCTAATATTGTATTTTTGGAATGTTTTATTACTACATCGTGTTGCCTTTTTATCAAGTATAGTTTTTGTTACTCGACTTTGAACCATATTATTTGCATAAGAGCTGTCTAGAATGAAGTAAGCAGAATGGGGTTTAGATCTATGGTCTGTTAATTGAGAGCTGAGTAGTTTAACCACTATGTCGCCCCTCTAATCATTATATTCAGTTAGTCAATTTGTCATAAACAACACAGGATCTAATTCAAATGCGAATCAATCTAGGTTTCCACACCTTATGCTATGCGACTAAGGGATTTCTCCTCATTCCGAAACAATCAGTGATGATGTGATTTATAGAAATAAATATCATGTTAAATATTTTGCGTTCATCGTTTATTCCACTATGAAAAACTGCAAATTAAGCTTCTCCATACTGCTCAACGAACTTATAAACAAAATAATTTACACACCGGAAGTAAGATGACACATTCGTATGGTGTACGTAGTCGATCCTGACTTCGAGATAGCATCTTACAAGCAGGTATCAGAGTTGACAGTCTCCACGACTATCAACTTTGATATGTGTATTTACAGGATGCCAATCAATGATTAGACTCAGATGTAATTGGAAAATTTAATTCAGTTCATGATTATACACCTAATTAAATGTGATAATGAAAATAATAGTAGCGTTATTTTAAAGACTTTTCCTACAAATTTCGTGCCATTTTGCAGGCTTTTATAAGTTCAGTTTGTTCTTTTTTATAGTTTTGATTGGTGGTATGCTCTTTACAAGAGTGTATTTCGGCCGATGAAGTATTTAGAGTTTAGAGAACTTCGACAACAAAGAGTTGGTACTAACCGTTCGTTTACATGAGCTGTCGTAGGCCAGAGACTATTTGACCTTTGAAGATATGAAAAGTTGCTAGCCTGTAGGGTCTTAGGCCGTGTAAAAACGTATACTAAATTCTGAAACAGTTGTTTGCCATTTTCTGTGTTATTACAGTATAATACTTAATTTATGATGATGCTGTATATGTGTAATTTCAGACATTAAGAGAGCCGATTATACTTCGGTTTGATCATGACTTCAATTATCACTAAAAAATTACTGTATCATGCGAAGTGGCTTAATAGTAAAATTAAACTAGGAATAATGGATTGATCTAGTAACTTTCTCTCCAATAATTTCTTGATTTTCATTCACCTATTCACCTTCAAACATATCTCCATATTTCATCCATTAATAGGAAGAACCCCTTCTTTTCTAGGTTCTCATTGGGCACCATCGGTCTGGGAATGTGGATATACTTTTTCATTTTTTAACTGGACAAATAAAAGAAAAAAAGAATTATTTTGTACATACAAATATCGTTTAGATATCCAGACAAGACAATCCTCTCGTTTGCTTATCCCTTGTATTTATGGTTATTTAATTCGTTGTCTACAGCAATATCTCGGACAGTATATGTGTAAATGCGCTAATTAAAAGTGTCACTCATCCACGTACCTCCAACATAACTCAATAAGACCCTGATCATCACGAAATCTTATTTCTAGTATTCTTCTTATCAATCTTCTGTTTTCATCTTTTCCGATGTATGCCACTGCTGTAAAGTGTTCTCCCGATTGCACATACCTAAGCACGGTGAAATTGATATGACGAGATAATACGGGCTGAGTAAATAAAAAACTAAAGTAATTAACAAAATATGACACAGTAACAAAAACAGGATAGAAACAAGTAATTGTCTTATCTCAATCAAGAATAGGAAGTGCGCTTGATTGTGGAGATAAGATTTCAGGTTAGAAGACCGATAGCCTGTATTAGTCCTTTACTAGTCAGCTTCTGAGTCTAGTCTTTCCTTGGATGAGTCAGTCAAATGAGTGGACACCACTTCTTCCAGTAACAGGTTCCAAGAATTAATGACCCGGTGTGAGAACCTGAATGTCACGGGTATTTTGTTCGTTGTTGGCTATAGCACTCGCCTGCTACGTTCTCTGAGTTGTCCTGACCTGGTAGGAAGAGGAGAGAATATGTCAGGTTCATAATCACATCCAAGTATTCTATGCATCAAAATCAGATAGCCCCTTAGTTTGCGGTAGAACGGAGTAAATATGTCTAACTTGTCGTGCCGTTCTGTGTATAATAAATCCTGGAATTGCATGATTAGCTGCTTCCTCAATTTCTCCCAAGATATCGGAGCCACTTTTTAAACAGAACTTGCAGCCTGGACTCAGTTTTCAAGTTTGTGTACATTGTATTGGAACATATTAGTGTCTAACTTGGTTATTGTCCGTCTCCAAGCCCATATGGTTCCGAACTTCTCACCTACAGCCGTACGGCAGTGGTCCATTGTCTTAAGATGATAACTCACTGTTACCCCAAGATCGCTTTGAGGTCGGAATACAGGTCCTGACTCTTCCTCTATGCTCCACCTACTTACTTTTGTGTTCCTTATGTTCACGTAGATGCATGTAGCCACGCTCATAAGTATCAGTCATTTTTTAGCCCAGCTAATTAGAACATCTAGTTCCCCCTTCAGTACTCACGCATCTGTGTCTCCTGTTATCTCCAACTTTCTGCGTCAGCGTCAACTAGCATCGAGGGTTAAATCATACTTGGGAGTTCACTTCTCATACAGTATAAATAGTAGAGAACTCAGGGCAGTTTTGCGGTACTTCACCAAGTGCTGGTTTATAGGAAGAATACTTGGAAAAGGTCTTTACTTTCTGTCCACGAACTAGCAAGAAATCCTTTATTAACTTTGAGATAGGCCTGGGAATTCTTAGACTTTCCAGTTTTAAGAGGAGTCTGCCACTGGGAATCTTATCAAATGCTTCACTGAAGTATATGTGGATAACAATCACTGATTCTCCACTATCTAGCAACCGTCCATTTCTCTCGGTATTAGGTTTTTTGTGCAAGATAGTCCTTTTCTGAAACCATTTTTGCTGTCTAAAGATTTGTTAGTTCTCACGAACGTTATTATGGCCTTTTGGTGATTCTTTGTAGTATTTTGTCCACGATAATGGTGAGGTTGATAATTCGTTGAATTTATGGGAGTTTTCTTGGTCGTGTTTTGTAAATAGGAATGACAAGTGTACCCTTCTAGTCCATAGTCAGCTCACCTTGGTCAAGTGACATATTGAATATCGTAGCCAGTGAGATAGCAATATAGCGTCTAATTTTCCTCAAGATTTCAGGGTGTAGTGCATCTGGCTCCGTTAAGTTTTCCATAAATAGTGTTAGGGCCTTTTGTACATCGTTCCGGTCAAAGTCACTTATTTCAATCCGACCTGTAATGTTCCATCGTATTTACTATGCTAGTGCTGACAGTGACGGCCAGGATATAAATGACTGAGTTAGTAGGTTGTTTAACTGCCGGAAATGAGTTCATGCCTCACCTACTGACGTGCCGGGGTCAACGTGCCAGTTTTCAGCCGAGGCTGAAGAGTTGATCGCTTTCATGTCTGCCTACTATATGTTATGACGTGCCGGTGCAACTGCTTGATAGACCATATCAGCCGTGAACTTGAATAAGATGACCACATTATCACTTCTCACCATACGTGAGAGGAACTTCGCTTGACTGACATCATCACAGTGTGTGAAGACTAAGTCAAAGAAATGCGGAGTTTTGTAGGTCATATTTGGTGGGATCTCCAATGTGCTGGAATAAAGCCAAAACAAATGTGATTTCCAACAATTTTCAATCGGGCACTTTTTCATGTCCCTACTTCTAAGTTTCCTCGATTTGTAGATGGTGTATCAAAGTGACCAACTATAAAGCTTCTGGACCTGTTCGACCAGGGTCTGAATTTACTTAGGGGGAAGTCATTCACTACTCAATCTGGACAGAGATGTACTAGGCCTACGTTGAATATCTTGCCTTTTTTTATTATCTTAACCTGCTGCGTTCTAGCTTACATGTTCCTGAATTGTATGTCACTGCCTCGACGGCTCGTGTGGTTGAGGTGATTTACGTGTACGTGACAACCCCACCACCTCGACAGAGTCTGCCGGCCACATTGAGAAGTAATCGAGTTCCAGCGTAATGCGCTTTTGATGTTAATCATGTTTCTGTGATGATCATGACGTCACGGTACTTTGTACTCACCATGGTTCCGAGCTCCACCATTTTAATGAATAAGCTTCTAGCATGTGTGTAGCATACATAGTTTTACAATGTGAAAACTCTCAAGCATAAGGTCTTATCAATTCGGCGGTGCCCATTTCTTTCTGCTTCTCTTGGTCATCTCAGAGGACCGCTTGGACATGTATTACAGATCCAGTCAGTTTGCTTGAATTTTCCAGTATTAGGTTTATTTCATCAGCAGAAGCAAGAGTGAATTTCAAGGGTCGGCCTTCCTAAATACTTTCGGGACCCACGTATTGTCCTTTTCTATAAAGCCTATGAGTGTTAACCCCTGCTATTAATCATGGGACCTGCTTGCATGCCAAAGGCTTAACGTGGCCTAGGTCACATTCAAAGTTAGCTTTTTCATGAACCCTTCCCATCTCCTACTCCTATTTGGCAATAGAAGTGGAGGTCTGACTTTTTCTCTGGTCTTCTAGGTGTTATTGTAAGCCACTCATTAACTTTATTGTTTCTTAATCAAATCTTTTGCAACGTCCATGCATTGCTCCTGCATAGTCTGTCTTGCGCTGTTGTGGATATCTGTATACAGTTTTGTATTTGAAACCGTCAACACATTTCTGGAGCTCCTTTCAACTTGTATCTCCTTTGTGTGCTTATTTTTATTCCTCGTATTCATGTGTGTATTTGTCATCCACTACGTCGTGGAGGTTCGAAATGTTGGTTTCGTTCAAATCTATGGATAGACATGATAACATTCGTTGCTACCTCGAGATCTGATAGCTGCCCATCTGCTGTTGGTTGCTTGTCTGAGGGCATCTTTTCAACAGTTTAACAGCTCGATCGCCCCAGAGGTCGGCAGATGCTTTGTAAAGCATTGGGCCATAACCACACAATCCTCAAAGCTGAACACGAGACAGCCGAAAAAATAGATATTCGATATTTAACGCGGAGAAGAACCTAACGATGAAGAAGGCGGGAACAATGAGTTGAATTAATTCGAGTTGATCAGATGGCATGGTCTGGCCTTGCGGGCGTGGTTCCTGCTGAATGTTACCCTATGTCTTTTATTCATATTAAATATATTGTTCTATCTATAGCCTAAGCTTGTTCTCCATCATGTATTTGTGATTGTTGCGATGCAATGAGTTGGTGTATACGATGATGTTACTTCCACATAAGATCTTATAGATTAGGCAGTTATATCATGGAAATGTACAATCTTAGGATTAAGTCTGTTATTAGAGCAGTACTAATATCATAGTAGACCATAATTCTACAGTGCAGTCAATGTGAGTCCCGTGCATACTTGATGATAAAACTTGTTACAATTGTCACGTAGTCTTATATCTTCAAACGTAAGGAAGCTTGAGGGCCTACCACGACGACGTTTTGGTTGTGCCATTGAAATGGTCAAGTAGGTGCTTGAGAGGACCACTTATTGTGTTATTCTTTAATAGCTCCTATTATCAGCAGTGTTTTCAGCCTTCATTCACTAGCTTGTACATGACATATGTCATACCAACCAGCACTTCCACTTCTTTGAACTAGGTAAAAAGGAACAATTTGTTTGATAAACCAGTCAAGTAAATTTGATATTTAGTAATATCTCTTTATTCCTCTCTAAAAAACATAAACTCTATGAAGAATTTTCAAGATGGGTTATCAGGCGAGTGACTGGTCTTGATTATATATCTTAGTAAGAAAGACTCCAATATTTAGGATCCTCATTCTAAGTAACAGGTTAATGTTCGATCTGACATCATAATATTTTACATAAAGTCCGTCAAGCGACCCTAGCAGGTGCATATAACCGGAACATCATCGACACCGCCATTTTGAGGCAACCCTCGGATGATGGCACGTCAGAGTGCGAACATCCTTTTTTTTCTCAAGAGCAGTAGCATCAATTTTGAAGTGCCCTAGCACCCGAAGTGACCACAGCCGATTCAGTTGATAGCTTTAAGAGAATATTTGGATATACGTGCTCATCTACGGATTGAACCCCCCTTGGACTAGATGTGTCTAATGCATGTCCTATAAATTGCCACGTTATCATCAATGCATAGTCAACACTACTTAGTATGTTTCATATTATCATCTCCAATTCCCCTATTGCCCTTTCAATTCCGTGTTATTACACATACCAATTAATTTTTTGTTATTCTCGAATCATTCATACTCTCTTAGCATTTTAATTATTAGTTTATAATCTTGACATTGCAC